TAATAGGAGAAAAAACCCTTATTAGTTGAAGAAATTCCCACTGAGTCACAATAGCCTGGCGGGAGAGCTCGTTTGCTAGTTCACAGGTGCATACGGATTTTCTCGTTCGTTTCCGTTGTCGTATCGTTCGTTTGCGAGCTACGTGTCCAGCATTGTAATTCACAGTAAACGCGAGAATTGGGGGGTCGAGAAGCCATCGCTTCAAGAATCACAAACACAGAGAGAAACAAAACAAAGTTGATGTGACAGCTCTTGTCGGTCCTTGAGCGATATAAAGTGGATTGATCCTTTCACTATTCCAGACATTCTCTCTGTACGTGTGCATTTTTTTTGACCCCCTGATTAAACGACCGAACAAGACAAGAAAGGCAAAAACATGTCAAAGCCGAAGTTCACATTAGTGTGTGATTGTACGAACGTAATTTTGAATGCTGCTTTGAAACACGGTTGTCGGTTGTTCACAGGAAGAGAGCGGCTTTTAAGCGATTCAACATAATGCACCCTTTCATTGTAGGCCTTAATTTTTAAATTGCTCCCTGTACGTCTTGGAAAGGCTTCACATACAATCTCTCGCAAGCCCTAAGTTGTTTTACTTGTACGTTTCAGGAAGTCCTGAGCATGCATGGGTTGCAAAGAAAATAGCCTTAAAAGGATAATGACAACCTCTAACAGACCGGGAAAGGAGCATCCTGGCTCACTTAGTAGAAGGTCCATTTAATGTCAGTCTCACTTTCTCCTGTTTTTTTCCAGCTTTCACACAACCTGGTTTAAGAACTTCCGAGTTCGCGCGAGCTTTTTTTTTCATAAATCGCCTCACATTTGATTTCCCCCCGCAAAAAGCATTGAAATGCTAAAAGCACCAGATTTGATCAATGAGCAGGCAAATTGAAAAAGCCATCGATGGCCCGACGGAAGGCCTTGCCTCGTTGCCATGGTGATCCGGGAAGCAATACAACGTTAACTTTTCAACTTCCTTTACTCGCAGCAAAAACGTATCCCCCGAAACAAATCGTGCTTTGCCATTGTAATATTGAGCAAGCTTAGCAGGGTAGACAAGGTAATTCTGTGCCTGTTAATTTATACTGGAAAGCGACAGAAGCATAAAAAACGATCCGTATGCCCGACAATAACTGCAACTACGAAAAGAAAAACGATTTGCGTCCCGCTGGTAGCATACAGTATAAGCAAAGCTTCACAATACGGCTTTTGTCGTCAGTTAATATCAGCAGCGAGGCGGGAACGGAAGACCCCCTCTCTAAGCAGTGGCAAATGAAAGTTTGAATTTAATAAAAACTACGGTTATTTATAACAGCGCCTACAGAGAGACTCTGACGTCGATCATTATATCTGATCAGCAGCGATCAATCCAATTTAAGCCACTACACAATTCTTGTACCTCAAAGCAGAATCGTTTTTTTTATTGTAGAAATACACAACAAGACTTTTCTCAGTGATTGCGAGACAGACTTTTAATTTTTTTTTTTTTTTACAAAATAAGCAATATCGTTTAAGAATATGTTGTCTCATTATATTCACGAACCCCTCTCTTATCCAGAGTTTCTCGAATTATATGATTTATTGAATATTTATGTTTTCTCCAATCTCAACTTTTAAAGTTGTGTCCCGGTGATATATATGAAAGCCTCTCATAATCACATATCCGAATGGAGTTGAATTAATTATCGTCATTTCAATTCTTTGTTCTGACATCACAATTACAATCCCAATTAAACAAATCCCAATTCATTCTTTTGTTTGTTTTGTCACATTTTTTACGTTTAACATTTATATTTATTTTTAGGAGGCGACTGCGGGTGAAGAATCTTTGACTGTGTCTATTTTATTTGCATTTTACATGCGCTGATTCTTGTAATGCGACACACTGTTCAGACGTAACTCGTGCGCAGTTGTATCAGTAGATATAACTTCTTCACGCCAAGTTTTCTCGACGTCACGTGTCACCAGTTGACATCCGGGTCCTTGCTTCAATGCGCGGCTAACGCGAGTCGGTTATATGTCTGTCTCTGCATCAAGCATAGTTTGCAATCCAGCTGACAAACTGAATTCACAAATACGACATCTTTGGAGTACGCATTTAAAATTGCAATTATCAAGATGTATGATACAACGGAAAAATCCCCCCAAACATCATGACGACACAATTTTTTCCGCTCCCCTCATGTTCGTGACATTTTTCATAATTCTCCATGTTACGTATTCGTCACTACATGTCTGCGTACAAGGTGGGATCGAGATCCCGAGGTTGTTACTATGAAACATAAGTGAAACCAATTTGCGAATTACCGACAGAATAATTCCGGAACCTCTTTTTTAGATTATGCGAGGTGTTGGGTGTTTTACTTAAGTGATAAATTGCGCAATAATTGTACATTAGTTTCACAAAGTGGCGTTGATTTCTAATAATACGACGCGCACCGAAATATGACAAGTGTTGTTTGATATCGGTGTCCATTATCATTACGTCTATTTCGCCTTGTCGTTTTGCATCTACCATAACTGAAGAGGAAGTTTTCATCCGTCTGGTGTCATCAGCATTCATATCAATACGCTGCCCCTTTACTGAGTCCCTTATATACATTTCAATAATTATGTTATAAGGTCCCAACATTCACACATTTCACGTTTAAGTGGTCATTAAAACTAACTGCGGCTGGCTTTCTCTATTTGATTTAGAGCATGTTTTCATTCGTTCCGAGAAACGCTTGCTCATTGCTACCGAGAAAGTGAGTTGACGTTCGATATATGTCAAAATCAAATCTTTGTGCAGGTGCGTGACAATATGAACCCTATCCCCGTGCATTACCCGTCTCTGCAATTAAAGTTGTCCAGTGTTAAACGAAGGATGGAAGAAAAAATGCCAGTACAATTAGACCTCTCATGACGGCTTTGAGCTACCCGAGCGTGTCACACGGATGAGAGAAGATCGCATCTGTTCATTGTGGTATTTTCTTCTGAAACAGAAGAGAGGAGATATTACAAATGACAATTCTATTTCCATTCTTGATTTGAATTCTCCGAGATAATGGAAATCCCCAAGGCCGTTCGAACTATATTAAACAGTTTTCAAACTCATCCGCGACTACATTATGTAACAACCGCGTCCTTATTTACAAACACCGTGTTTAGAGAACTCACAACTCCCGTGGTTGCCATTGACGCCACTAATGACGCACATTTTCACTAAGGAGGCATAGCTAATAAACAAGTGATGTTCTCGACAATAGTGGTCTTGACAAGGACACCAATAATTTACCCTTTTAACGGATGTTTTCTTTTAAATAAAATCTAATTAATATGTATATTCTTGCTTGTTCAATTTAAAAAAAATACTTAGATATAAATATGTTGGTTAAATTGTTGTCTAGCAGTTTATAATTTACGTAGAGGAATAATATGCAATTAAAACTCTATTGTCTGATCGGCCCACTTGACTCGCCCATGTAAAGGGATAGATATTTTAAAACACGTCTAACTTAGTATAAAATTTCCTCATATATCAACAACATTGCATTTTTCATTCTCAGATTATAAACATTTAACGGCTTTATCATATATAAATATAAGGACCGTACTGGTGTGTTCCACTGAACCGCCCGACCTTCGTATTCACGGGCTGCCACCGCCCTCTATCAGCATCATACTGATTATTTGGTTCGTTCTGTGTTGAGTAAAATGTATGGTTTATCTTTCTATTTTATTTACACGGATGCGGACATACAAAGCGCTGGAATTGTTTGCTGACACTAAAAGTTAATATTTGAAGATGTTTGATATTGAATAAAATAGTCAACACCTCCGACGCGTGTTACATTGTAACGTAATACGACATACGGGTGCTTGCCGGAGATTCTATATTTGGCTTATTGTTACGTCATGTACAGTCGAGTCCCGGCATTGTTTCTATGTCGAACTTTGAGTTACAGACGGTGCCAGGCAAAACCAGTCTTCATTGCTACGGGTTCTATAGAACACGCAGCATAGAATGTAGTACCTTCATATAGTTCCCACACTTGCTCTTACCACAGCTGTTATTTTTCAAAATATACTATTTTTCCAAAAACAAAAAAACAAATTATTGTTGTCTGCATATATTTATTTTAAAAACACCAACTCATTAACAAAAATAGTAAAATGCGAGAAATGAGATTAATGCGAAGAACGTTCCTCTTAACGCATGTTGAATGGCAAACCACGCTGACGCAGTAGTTCCTTTTGAGAATCGACAACGTAAATACATACATTTACCGCATTCCACAAAGTATATAATATTAACCATAAAACACCCATCAAAATAAACCCATCATCATTTTCCGGAAAGATAAATAAAATGAGTGGTTTCATACGATTCCAAACAAAACAATTTCTAAAGAATGATATAGCAATTTATTTTCATGAAAAAAATATATATATAATGTTTATATGATGATTGTATTCATAGAGGTTTGCGGGATTTGCAAGTACTCTATGTGTGTGGAACATTTCTCATTATCAAAAGAACTAAACGGTGTCTTTTAGGTCAGCCTATCTTGAATTTGTGTATTCCGTATGAATTCACCGACCTTCAAATATGTGACTTGGTCTCGAGTAAAAAAAAACTCTCATATTTTATCAACAACAACAATTACGGTGGTGGTGGTGATTTGTTTAACTCGCCCAAAAATCGACATTTTATTATTGTTCAAAGTCATAATTAACAGAAATGTGGTAAAATGCACTAAAGTCGATTTTTGGCTTGCCCGCTTAATGAGCTTAATTTAATATTAATGAGATTATTGTACAGGGGACAGTGTTCGATTATAACTTGACGTGTATCACTTGCTTGACAATGAGGGAAAGCGCGACACCTGATTGGACGCCAGATAATGTGGCCAATCAACGCGCTCGTTTTATGCTGTTTAAGGATGTCACCTCGCGAACCAAGGGCACCGCCTCTTACTAATACCAGTAGTCATTTAACAGGAGAGGGTACAGTTTGGTGTAAGCTGTAGAGATGGAAGCAGCTAGCCTCCACGTGCAGATGCATACCGCATCGGACCCGTTTCTCTCACACGCCGCACTCAACAATAACAATACCATGAACAAACTCAACTCGGCAGTTTTGAGCCAAGGTAAGTGATCGCAAATCGTCATTTTGCTCGTGAAAAGAGGACGTTGAGTTATTTTGATTTTGACTAAATTGGCACTAATCTAACCTTTCAATCTAATTTGGTGATACAACGAGACTCTCAAATAATTAGATAATTTTATTTCTTTGCCGGTCTGTTTGTAACTCTTGTCATTTTCGTTATTTCTCTTTTCAATATCGTCGTTGTCATAATTTTTGTCGACTATTCGACCCCCTTTTCTGAATGACTGTATTTTTCGAAATTTCTCTCATTCTGAAAGGTTGATTAGAGTTTATATGATGTTTGTGTGCGAGCGAATCGCCCCGGGGTGTTCACTAATTCATGTAATTCGCTCCCATTCCGTCCCATTTAGCCAATAAAAACAGAATCGAAACGTACAATTTATGTCTTAACCCGGAGCGCTGTTTTATGTGGTTCAATTTTCTCTGTCTATTGCAGGTGTCAAAGATGAACACGATAACAACGATAAGTTGTCTTTGGATTCTGATGGTACAACGTTGTTGAAAGACACATCGTCAGGCCACGGCGGTAACGATGGTTCTCACATGGGTTGTAACCAAGAAAGCAACGACGACAAACCCCTGAAACAGAAAAGACACCGGACACGTTTCACGCCGGCACAACTGAACGAGTTGGAACGAAATTTCGCAAAGACGCATTATCCAGACATCTTCATGCGGGAGGAAATCGCTATGAGAGTTGGGCTGACAGAATCCCGAGTACAGGTAAGATAAACATTCTCAAAAATTTACCAGGCCAAAGCTGGACATCATTTAAATTTTTCACGTTTTCTAAAAGTTCGCCAATTGTAGTGGTGGCAACATTCGAAAATATCATTTCAAAACATTGATCTAGTATGTGTTAATGTTCATGGCAATTCTGCTGGCTATGTCCACTGCTAATGAAAGTGTTAATTCAGCTATATTTAGAGTTTCTTAGTCCGGCATTAGAGTTGCGCAAAATGGACGAATTGTAACTGCACGCTAGAAATTGGTGTTATTAATGTTCCGCAAATTAGTTTTAGTGTCCAATGCACGTGTGGTTGAACCGTCTATGAAATAAAGTTAAGGGTATTTTCCATTGGCATTTTAACCGAATCAGTTAGATTATTCATCGTTCGGAACATTACACTAATCGTGATCTGGTCAACGCATCATATATAAGGTAAAATACATGCCACATCGTAAAAAATAATACGCGTATACCCTTCATCAGACTGCCGTGGAAACGGCACACAGCATCACGTCTTCATTAGCGTTCGTTTGTAACTCATTAAGCTAATTTATAAAATCTAATCAAAACGGCGATTATTTTGTATTTAATAAAAGGCTGCTGAATGGAAATATAAATCAAATCAAATAAAATGTGCGGATAATACTAGAACATCGCGCTTCTCTACAACTCCGTAAGATGAATTCATCGCGGATTTCTTGAATTTGGTGTATGGTACTCCAGCAGCACCGTGATTTTCATTTTGTTGTTGCAAATTACGTTTATCTTTTTGTTTGTAAAAAAACTAATTAAACATTACTTGATAAGATTAGATTGCCACTTGTCAATAACTTGTTAATTGTACGACGCGGCGAGTCAATGCTGAGTGGCGTGACCTAGCACTATCGTCGTCATCGATTTCTTTTGACGCGCAATGTATTCTACGAAACAAAAGCTGCAATCATTCGGAAAATACTCCTTTGTGTTGTTATTTCGATAGGATAAAAAGTCATATATTAAAGTAAACTGGCGATAATGTATTTAGATAAAAAAAACATTCATATTTCGCTTGCGTCGATGACAACACAAATGCGGTAATTCAGCGACTTTCATCTGCCCGTTCACGTTACACATTAACTATTCAAATCTTTGCGGGGCTACTTCTTGCTATACGATTGTTATTCTGGCAATAACAATATCTATAAACAGAACAACGTAAAAATGTTCAAATAATATTAGTTTTACCCCAATCATAAATAAATTTGTTTTATAAACAAAATATCCACCTTGCTTTCTTTCTTAAACGTATTTTTAGCAGTTGCGTTGTCGCATCTTTTTTACCAGTACACGTATTTCAGCTCATTTGTTTTCAAGCAAACCAACAAAAACAGTCAATTAATACTAAACTAAAATTTGACGCTGATATCAATATTGAATAAAACAAAAAAATATCCAATCGCATATGATTTTGATATCCACAGGATTGCGCTATTACGTCGAGTTGTCCCGAAACGCCTTTAAAAAATCAAAACAATCTTCCCGTAATAATTACTAAACTAGCTTTGAAATACAATGGGAATCAATATGGGAATTAAATAGAAGTCGATCTGAAGCACACAAAGGCGGAGCACATAGTATGGTGGTGGCTCGGGATTCCCAAAACGCCGTGTCGGAGATTGCCCGCACACCAGCATTCCATGTTACGATAATTCCTCGATCGCCGCTAAACGGGTCCCACACAGTACAAATATCGATGTGTACGCGATACGTGTATTTAGTTCACCCACGATTGCTTCGGTCAACAATAAAATTGTCAGGATATCCCTTTCAGCTTAAATTACAGATTTCTATTCCTGAACGAGATCAATTTACGAAATAGCAACAGTCTTCACTGCTCGTGATTCCGCGGACTCTAAACGTATTCCTATATTTCATGCTAGGTTTATTCCCGCGGAAATGTACTTTCATCGGATTTATTCATACCACTTCAAATTGAACTAAAGAAATAACAATATTAAGACATTGAGACTTTAGTAGATTTGTTTTTTCGAGAAAAGAAAACTCGATTTTTTTGAGTAATACTGCGAGCAAGATACGAAATATGAACTTAATCAGATTAACATTGGTATTCCGTGTATTATTTTATTTGGTTATTGTTACCGTATAAAAAATCACAATTCAAAAGACGTCCTTCTAATGTGTAGGTAATACTACAAGTAGTTGATTGATAATTGATACCTGTATCTCTAATATTTAAACATCTCTAATATTAGATATGAATGATAATAGCTCTATAAAGGTACATGGTAGTACACTGTTATGTAAGCGCTAATTCATAATGGTGTCGAACACCGTAAAACTGCGCTGGTGGTCAGTTCAGGCTGAAGGCTGGACATGGATTCTGAGTTATCTCAGCCAATACTAGTAATACTTGATTTAATTATTGTACGACTTAAACATTAAACACGACGGATATCTTCTCAACCAATATGAGTCTTCATGTGACATTCAGTTTCCCAATATTCACCTTCGAAGCGAAACACTTTTATTTCATTTTTTCTCAAAACACAATCTAATTTCGAGTGTATTCATTTTTAAATCCAGACATAACCACTACACCAGCATCATCCGCAGCGGTTGTTCAAGACACGGTCGTCCGATATTCCCAAATACAGCGTGAGACACCATCACTGATGCTCACCCATGAGAACGTGGAAGTCTCCCCAAAGGAAAACAGTCATATTTATTATTAACCGAACTTTTCATACCCACGTCGTATTGTTCCACGAACAATTGATGAATTCACTATTCTATAATTTTTAAAGTGGTTACGTACTTATTTAAATGACTAGTCAATACTCACTGAGCAAGCAAGCCCCCAACCAAGCCACGCGAGTGCGGTATTGTTTATTGTACTTAGCAATTAACACAATAAAGAAAGCAAGATGCGAAGGCAATGTACTTTCTTTATACCTAAAATCCTTAGCCCTTAGATCTTAAACAATAGCAGAAATGATGCCACTCCTTTGTAATTTACTGTAATTAATTACTTAAATTACTTCGTACCTACTCCCCAGAAAAAAATCACAGCAAAAACACATGGTTAAAACCGAAAATATATAATAACTATTCAATATGTCTAGAATTAAGGTAAATATATTGTCCATTTTGCTAGAAATTACTCTGTAAATATACAAGAAACCATTTGTTTTGTTTATCGATTGTAACATTTTCGGCAATTACCAAAAATTAAACCCAGCATTTTTGTTGATAATAATTATTGATGATAATTTTAAAGTCAATCGAATTCGAAGAGGGAGGTATGTCATTGGAGAGTACCATGGAACAACGTGGCGAATCTAATGTATTGATCGCGCATTAGAAAGCTTAAACTGTGTGCTTAGACTAGTGTTGTCATAACAAGATTATGGTATGTCGATTGCATTCTCAGTGACTTAAGATTGGATTATTGATATCCAATTAGAGTGCATCAATCTGTATTATGAGATGATAGTAGATATCCAATTAACCATGGTTACGAGTGAAATACATACGTTATGATTAGCGTTAGACGCAATACGAGTTCAATATCCATTATCGGGTACGGCGCGAAGAACCCATAATACAGAACGCCACTTTTACGCCCAAACGCGATTCAAGTGATTGCGCGTAGCACTTTAAACCTCGGATTCGAGAAAATTGAGATTGCAATGTTCGCAGGATCATTATCCTTTTAAAAACATCGCGTATCCTAGGTGTCGTTTTCACTTCGTTGCTCTCGCCCTCTTATCACGCTCAGACATCTCTCCCGAGCTTGTTCATCGATTTGGTACGGTGATTTATACTCAATACACTGGTGAAGATTTCGCCACCCCCCGAAAGACCACCGATGCCCGCTACAAATTGGAAAATTTCGCGCCACCTCGAAAGCCGTCAGCCAGACAATTTGCAGGACACTCCATCAAGAAACGTGTTTGTGATGACGATTCGCGGAAAATATTACTAACGAAATTGAAGTCAGGCTAAAAGTGAGATTAGACTGATAAATCAATGTCAGGTTGGCGAGGAATTAGCCAGGAATATTGACCGTAGGGTCCATAAAAACAAAATTACACCTCATAAAAATTGCATGTGGAAAACTAAAGCAATAAATCAGTCTACTCATAGATATATCTCTTCACCGTTTTTTTTTTCATCATTATTTTTTTTTTCAAGATTCTTCGCTATTTCTTGTCACAAACAGAGCATTTTTACCATTGTCATGTCGGACACCTACACATTCGTATGGTAGTAAATCCTTAATTATACGATGAATAATATTTGAGAGATTTCGTGACCCCCTCCATCATTGCAGGCTAATAATTCGCGGCGACCTAGTGGAAGTGGACTTCGTTGTGTGATCGATTTCACGTTTTGAGAGGAATCCTCCCGAGCCTCCAAAAGCGTACTCACGCATAATTCGAAAGTGCTCATAAAATCGTGAGACTCTGACAGCTTCGCCTATGCAGCTTCGGGGTCCATTGTAGCGAATAATGTTAGAAACACTCTGACTGCGTTCCAAGTGCCTTGTCTACTAAATTGCGCGTTATCGAGTGTAGTAATCGTGTTACTGATAATGGTAATACGTGTAGCGGTCTGATTGGCTATGGTTATTCAGTACCGCCAACAATTCACGCCCGGAAAGTGGTGTTTATTGCCGTGCTTTACGCTTCTCTGAAATCATGATATTGTTGTTTTCAAACATGTTTAAATTTGGACGCATGCGGAGGGTTTTCACGCCGCCATAACGGGGTGCATTGAGCCGAGAGCATGCGTTGTTGTCGGGATAAATCAACTATGCGATTACGGACGGCTACGGTGCAATGTAGCATAAAAACGGCATGGATTTATCAGTCCTAGTGACAGCGTAATCTATCATTTTGGGCGAATTCCTGGGCGAATGATAGCTGAGAGTCGAGAGAGAAAACGAAAGATCTCGCAGAGGAACGACCATTTGTCATTTTCCTACTTTACGACTGTTAACCGAATTGCTACCTTAGACAATTAGTATCAATTATTAACAGAGTCCTGATAACTTACTAAAATACACGTTGTAATTCGAAAATGCTAAAACAAAAAAACAGAACGTTCTATAACGTTTCTCGATTGAAAATTAAACTGTTTACATCTGTGCCTATCGTCCAACCATAATTATATTTTAATGGTTACACTCAAGCCGAAACTTGATTTCCGTATTTTTTCCGCCCGAGGCGCTTACACAATACCATTCACTCGGAACGTAAAGCCCTATCGGTAAAATAGTAGTAAAAAAAATAACTCATTCTGAAAGTTTGTGGGTTATTGCTTTATTACAGGTATACCGTCCGCTGAAAGCATTGCTGGTAAACACGCGGGACGGTTAAATAGGACGTTTATATTTCGATGCATAGGAAAACAAACAAGAAGGAGGGGAGAGTAATGAAGATTAAACTAAAACAAAAACAAGATTAATCTATTCGATATGAATATTGAATAGCTATTTGCGTCAACAGTAATTATGCGTAAAATATAAAGTATGGATCCGGCGTACTGCTAACAATTTTATATTCTTGAAGAAAATAACATTGTTTCAAGCGAAATGCACCCGTTATCGTTCTAAAAATTGTGAAATCACATTTGGCGCCATAAAAAATCGATCATGAGAGAGTCACAAAATATTACGATTCTTAGGCTAGCGAAATGTCCTGAAGCGTAGTTCCCCTCTGAGGGTTGAACGATGTCCTCAGGGGAGGCATTCTTCAATGCGGAGAAATTAAAACGAATACAGAGCTAATGTATTTTTAACAGAGTTCGCGATATTTAAGGGATTTCTCCCTAGCACAGCGGAGTCGTTTAGCAATGGCACGTTGTTAACTCTGTTAATATGTAGATCGGTTCTGCCATCTGTACCACATAACAGTAATACACTTGGAATCATTAACTTCAAGAAATGGACCCTCTTAATGACCGATACAGGCAACGACATGCATTGTCGGTTACACCAGTCATAAACTACTAGATAAATACACTTCTAGCGTAAACTAATGGACGCCGACAACAATCAGCCCGACAACGACCGCTGTTTCGAATTTTGCGATGTGTATTTAAATAAAGTGATATTTTTCTTTTTCTCAGTGGTAATTAGAAATGGGACGACTCTTAGCGTGTGCAATCATTTTTCTTAATTACATGCGAGGGTCAGGGTTCCGTTGATGATGCATGGGGCTCGGGGAACCTAACGGTATATAACGATCACTGTTATCGACATCAACTCATTAATCCACAGTACCCGGATTGAATTAACAATGAATTGACTCTAATTTACACAGCTATTTCAACTGTGGCATTTTAAATTTCTGTGTAGATTTCTTCTATTTTCGCAATTTCATTTGTACATTTCAGTTTATATCAGGAGTTCACAGCTGCGACGAAAATAATCAATCTTAGCCTTAATTTGTGTCGCTGTATAAGTTCACTTCGGTCTTTGTAAACATTCACAAATTAGATTTACGCTTAGAAAACACAACTATACTTTACCGAAACGTAAATGATTACTCACTCAGGATGTTTTGCTTTAGTTATATGGTTACATCAGTGTTTTTTTAATCACTTGTTTCGTTGTGAAGTTCATTGCCAGATCGTCTTGGATAACGAGAAACAAAACTATATCCAATAATTTCAAACTATTTTTTGTTAAAGTAACTGAGACCAAACCCAATGGATTTGTGATGATTCGGCTAAAACATGATACGAATCTGAATGTAGACAAATCTTACATATCTGTCGGGTTTAATGGCGTGTGGAAGAGGCCCCATCAGTAGGTCATTAGGAAACAAAGAAATTAATGACATTGCCGAAAATTTAGGATTTGCTTCAGTTGCAGATGTGGCAACATAGATGGATATACCGTGAAGGTGTTGTACAGTTTTAGATCTGCTGCATTAACACTGTTGTTAGTGGCTAGCCCTAGAGGATAAAAGTGCATTCAACGCTGTGTACAGTACTTATACCGCGTCTGCCGTTTCGGTTTAATAGAGTGTTTAGATGAAATCGGACCGTCCATCGATCAGCGACTCTTGTAAATGACAACTTTGTATTGTTACAGTGCTCACATCGCACATCTGCATTGTGCTTTTTTTATAAAGATAGTTGTGATAAGAGCGGGGTACTAAAACGAGCGTCGATAAAGCAGACAACTAACAGTGGAGAAATTAAAAAAAAAAAAACGGTAATGAGGGAAGCATTGAACATTTATTTGTGGTTACTGATGTTTATGTTTGTTGTTTGTTTAATTTCAGGTCTGGTTCCAGAACCGTCGTGCAAAGTGGAAGAAGCGCAAGAAGCAAACTAATGTGTTCCGCACACCCGGGGCTCTCATGCCCTCCCACGGTTTACCGCAATTCCCGTCCTCGATGGGCGACTCCTTATGTTCGTTCCACACCAACGACACACGCTGGCCACCGATGCCGGCGCAGATGACAAGTGGACCTCCTCTCACACTCCCTCCCACTCTCCCCCGCCAGCACACGGGTATAGGACAGTCATTATCCGGCCACCAAGGAGGTGGCGGCGGGATGAATCAATCGCCAAACGGATTCGGTTCGGGCATTTCTGTAACCAGTAATGGCTCCGTCCAACCGTCGATGTATCAGTCGTTCGGTGGGGGTATGTCGTCAATGTCCTCTATGTCGTCAGTTTCCACGTCGTCGGGACTTCCATCTTCGCCAACGAATGTCACAGTCAATTCCCCAATGTCGTGTAGTTCACCGGATACCGGTGATATGTGGAGGGGTACCAGCATAGCACAACTTCGAAGAAAAGCACTCGAGCATTCTGTTACATTAAACGGAGGGTTCAGATAGAAGACAGCCCACACAATGTAGACTATTTCAATTTTTATTTATTCTTGTATTTTTCGAAAATTTCATAACCAACAGTTGTAAGATACACACGTGACAAACACAAACATTATGTCCTTATATATATTTCAAGCAACAACTAGTATATGTTGATATAACAATGGAATTGTTTTTAACATTCAAATGAGTAATATACCATTTTTATTTCCTCCCACAATGCAGCGGGGGAAACCAAAGAATTTGTATTGTACTTGATGTTTGAGCAAGCACAGTAGTAGTAATACTTGTTCGTTTTAGCAACCTACACTTTTTACTCCCATTTCTTGTCACATGGAAGTCTTTTGTATTCGTAAATCGAAGGCCCATTTCGTTGATTGTGTAGCCGATGGTCTGATCTGACTGGCACAATGCCCGCACACGAGCATACTATTATTGACACCCGAGGCACTTAAACCCATGTACGTTACCCTTGTTCTTTTCACAGTGAAATTGACACTCCCCTAAAAGGATGAAAAGACGTGCACTGACATTTGAACTTTTTTGTTGTGATATTCTTTACTTTATTAATATTGGGGACTTTGATACATCCCCAAATCCGGATTTGAATATTGGTTGTCGAAATTAATCGATCGCAATTAATTAGAAGTTCTGTAAGTCTCAATTTGAACAAAAGACGCGAAGAGGTAGGGAGATAATCGGCGTCACCGGCACATTGAGATATTAGTGTTATTACTTTATTTATGTAATCATCATGAAATATATTAATAAAAACTTCCACTAGAAATTGTATAGTATCTGAAGTGTTGTTACATGTATGATATGTCGATGTGTGTCTAAAAAATGACTGATTAACATGATGAACTACCGTTTAGTACTGCCTATTACGTAGTTTCCGGCTCGTTTAAACGTTATCCCCAGTATAGCCATACTGGAAAGCCCGGCACTAGAATACATATTGGTGGTCCAAGAGGAGGAGGTTACAAGGCGATTCTATTGGAAATATCGACTATCTAATGATTTGCGTTCTTGACAAACGTCAAGTCTTCATAACCACATTTGTGTTGTTTTGAGGTTGTGATAGGACTTATAGTACAGTTAAACAAATATATATCCACCTATAATGTTATTTCTTTTAGCAAAACCCTGCATGAATAGAACTTGACCTTGGCACTTCCATCACGATTTACATCATCTCTGATGCAAATAATAGGGGAACTTAACATTTAAAACTGATTTCACGTTTCGTTTAGTCTTAACACAAGAAACATTTAAACCATTAAATAATTCAGTTTTTATAGAAACTAGAAAATTTACAAACAGATTTCCTTTCCTTTAATTTTTAGATGACTTTTTTTGTGGGTAAAACAATGATAAACAATAACATTTGCCGGAAAGTAGAATGAGATTAAATGCCACACCACTCTGTAATTTCCACGCCGAAATTCAAAAGCGCGGGGTGTTGTCACCTACGCATGCGTAAAGTCGCCATAACGTGTCATTGTTTACAAACAAGCGTCTACCTATGAGCCTTTGCGTTCTTAGCGTGTGTTGTATTGCTTGGGACTCAATTCTCGCATGTGCGCAGGTGACGACCCTCCCGCTTTAATATTTACAAATAAAAAAGTGTAGTATTTCAAAAAGAAATCACGAGAATGTTTATAATTGTGTTCGTTATATTGGTGGAGTCATCAAGAGACATTATATAAGGCATAAATGCATTCATTTGAATACGGATATTAATATTATGTATGTTTTTATCATAAATGAAATTTTTGTTTTCAAAGTTTCATTTTCTAACTGAAAATAAACACATGATAATGAATTAAAGGTGCTTATTGTAATCTTGCAGATTAATTTAACTGTTAAATATATCCACAAACTTGTCTAAAGTTCAACTTTTCTAAACGTAATTGAAGTCCGTTTGTACAGTTGTCGAAATAATATCACGAAAATTTGGAATGTCTCCAGTCTGCGGACAAACACCGTGACGAACCAGGAAAATTTGTTTCATCTCCATTTTGCAAATTTGTAAAACATCACTTCCAGAACAAGCTAAAAACAAACAAAAATGTGTTCGAATGATTCTGTTTTAGCTAAACAAAAAAAAACGATATATTAAAGCGAGAGTGTCGTCACCTGCGCACGCACGGGAATCGATCGCGAGCCCCAATCAATGATAACACGCTAAAAAATCGCAAGGGCTCATGGGTAGACGCTTGTTTATGAACAATGACACGCAATGGCCATCTGACGCATGCGTCGGTGACGACTCCCCCGTAGATAACCTGCCGTAACTTTCCCGCCAATTTTATTTTGGGTTTACTGGTAAGACTTATCCTTTAGACAAAAAACATATCTTCAATGTAACTGATCTTCAAATACAAAAAAAAAAACCTAACCCAGTGTTTTCAAATCAAACTTAATTTAGGAGGAACGCTTAAACTCATATTGTGCAGTTAATTTACCATTACCTATTCACTATCTCAACATTTTATGGTGTATACATTGATCAGAAGAAAGTACCTTACAATCACTAAACTGAATAACTCTGACAGATGGAATTGTTTGTTCGGAAAATGTTTATTTTCTTCTGAAACAGTGTATTATGGTTACGTGACATCTTTCGGTAATTTTCTTATATTTTTTTGATTAGCTCAAATGAAAAATGAAATCATTGTTATTAGAAAGTTGGATTCCAATAGGTCAATTTATACGTGATTTGAGTTTGTTATGTTATTCCGCTACTACCCACGTGGTCATTATAACTTGAAACGACTATTATATGTCTGTTTAAAAATATTTTCAATGAATCGGATCACTAGATTTGACTAGTTTAGTCTGATAATGTAATAAACAATATCAATTTAGATTTCCCATTTTACAAAAAAGACGTACAACTACGTTAGTCGTAGGATTACAAGATGTAACACTGAGCGTGCGTCGAATACTGTGTTACTATTGCTTATTCATAATCCGTCTAGTGCACATCCGCACACAATAAAATGATCATGACCACTCCACGAGGGATATGCATTTATATAATGTGGACTCAGGTTGGATTTGGACGAACAAACTACTACTATCGGTAAATGAATGTATCGCCACTTAAATGACGTTATAGAGGTATTTGATTATAAAAACATATGACTTATACTCAACATAAGTCATAGACAAACTACAAAAAACAGACAAGACGTAGACGCTTCCAGCATGCAAGCGGAATGAAACAAAACATACACTTGTAACTGATAAGTAAACTTGTTCACCCTTAAATAAATTGATTTTTCATTTATTTTTATGTAGGAGGTAGCGTCGATAGGGCGATTTAATTTTCGCGCAAAACAAGGCCACAATTTCTTTTGTTTTCTTGGTGTATAGATTTCAAGCTTTTTCGCATTGTGGGCGAAACTAAAAACCGTTTCCACAAATTTTTACTCCAACGGCATTTTAACACTGAAGTAAACATTTTTCGTTTCGCTGTAATGATTATCGTGCTGATTGAATTGCGATGCAATTGACAAACAGCACAGTTGTTGCTGTCATCGCTAACTTTTCAGTGTTAAAATACACAAACATAAAATGCTTGGTTAATTAAAAATAAAAAAAATACCCTGGAAATTACCGAAAAATCGGCAATGAGATGCTGTTTTTAAACACCGCGGAAAAATCATGCACTTTGCGATGCCATCTTGGTTACCTCAATCGGGAACTCCCTTGTCAGCTAGCATGCATCGGTAGCGATGTCGCAAACTACGTTGTAGGGTCGTGATCGGCTCTGGTACTAAGGAACTCTATGAATGAGATATTTCCAGGTCAGGGTTCGTTTAATTTGCATCGACCCGTCTCGTCTGTAGTTGAATGAAACCTGCATCGATTTACAATAGTTTTCTTTCCAATGTGACTTTATTTCGAATTTGTTTCACCGGCGTTTGGGTAATTGAGTAGTAAAAACTGCGAATAGCCGTTGTGTAGTACAATATTAGGGCCCATTTCAACCTGGTCGTATAACTTCGCACGGTCCACGGAAACTGCGTCATACAAAGTATTTTTTAAAGGTTTGAGGAAAGGTAAATTTAGACTCAACCCACCCAATGGCGATCGCTATGTTTATATAACTGTATGAATATGTCATCGGCTTTCGTAATCCATTGTGTCCCTCCCTCAGTGGAATTGATAACACGGCGCCATGACAATTTTCACGCAAGGTTGAGACTTCGCGGACGATTTTTCGTCATTTTCCCTCGAATTGTAAATATTTTTATTTTATTTTTTTGACCTGACGATTTAACATCGGCAAATTACGATGTATAGTGTATTTCTAGGAGTTTCTGTTACACATATGAAGCGAATGATTTGTTTTAAATCTTTTTTTTTACAAAATGGCGATTATCTCAGTTTCATTTTTTACTCAAAATTTCAACTTTAAAACTATTTAA